TATGAACATTGCTCAATATCATGAAAATTAAACCTTATTTTCAATAAGCAATCCTGAAAAATATTTGGGGGTGCTTAACTTTTTTCCAGGTGTATATTAAGATTGATCATACTGTTGCTGCAATTGAAAAGTATAATAGAAAGCTTTCTCTTTAACAAAGGAAGATGAATTATACTTATGTGGACAAAGACACTTCTAAGTGCTCTAAAAGAAAACTTTCTATTTAACTCATGATGAACCCAACAAGGTGGGGAAAATGCTGTGAATGCTGGCACAAGAGAGAAAAAAAAACAAAAGTGTAAAAAGCTTACAAGGAAGAGTTAGAAGAAAGAAAGAATGCTTATACATAATTTTGTATTATCTGTTACCAGGTTTTTCATATAAACTAAAGAATATGAGGATTGAATTCTAAAAGTAAAAAGTCTTAGCAGAATTCTTTGAAAGTTGGTAATTTAATAGTTGACACTCAAATAGTTTACAGCTTATTAACCCTTTTGCAACAGGTACCCCTTTAAACACTTTTCTGAACAAGTCACTGTGTTACATTCAAAATTTAATTAAATACCTCTACTATCAATGTATGTGAAAAATTAACATTATAATGTATGTTATGATTTGAAGTTTTATGTTATCTAAGTTTTAAGTCCTTTATTTCAAAAGGACTTAAAATTTAGGTAACATAAAACTTTAAATTAAAAGTATTGTTTCTTGATTAACGAGCTATGAAAATTCTCTATTTTGGCAATTTGTATCTTCAATAATACAATAGTAGTTGCATAGATGTACATCTAGACTTTAACTCTTTCCAGATGGGTCATGAGTGAAAGGCCATGTCATTGCGTTTGTTGACTCGTATTCAAATTTTATTGAACTACTATTTCATGAATTTGTGTCAATAAGTTTGGTATCAAACTGTAGATTGTAATTCAGATTTTAATATTATACATTACTGAATTTCTTAATTTAAAAGTAAATAAAAAAAACAGTTAAACATTGATTTTTGTGTATCACGTGGTATGTTGAACGCAGCACTGGTTCAAGTCTATAGTTTCATACGAATTAGGAATTTGAATTACCGATATTGACAAACTAGAATATCTTATCTTTTCTATTTGCTAAGAAATTGTTCATGTGATAAATCAAACACAATCTGTCTAATTTTGGAAACGCTCCCTTATATACATTTACTTCAATATATGACATGAATAACCAATTGAAAGCTCAGAATGTCCCCCTAATGGCTTTCTTAGCCACTTTAAATTCTTAGGATGCCATCTCTTTCTTTCGAACCAAGATTTCAAGGAGGTAGGTTGTGTCTTTAATCTGCTCGAAATTTCATATTTTTTAAGACTAAAATACAGCTTAGTTACTTAGCTTGTTAAATTATAGTGGAATTCTATGGTATTGATATAATAATTTAAGATTTTTTGGTTATTCAACTGTATATATATATATATATATATATATATATAA